GCTCATTAATCAAAAAAAGGAATGTTGTTCTTTGGTTTGCAGAAATAACTTCTACTGTTTATAGGGCTGGTATCTATTATTCACCCTACCTTTTAAGTCCTTAAAAAATCCGATGCTGGTAATCACAAGGACTCATCATAGAAGCTCTCTATGTATCAAGAAACAGTGTTAAGTGAAAAGATGAAGGGAGAGCAAGGCATGTAGTATGCTGTGTTTTGTGTAAGCTTGAGAGAGCAGGAATAGGAGTAAAGAACTCTCTCCAATGGTTCATTGTAGAAGAATGAAGCAGGAACTGGATGGATGGAAAAAAGGGTATGAAAGATGCTTTCACAATATTTCTTTACATTGTTTTCTCTTTGAACCATGAATTGGTACCTCTGTTAAAAAATTAAATTGAAACAAAAACAAATGAAAGTCAACATGACATACACATATTTCCAACCCCCCCAAAAAAAACCTCATTTTTTATTGTACATGACAACAAGGTAGCTCCAAGTTGCAGAGTCATGTGCAGACTGAGTAGTCATCCGTACTGTAAATTACTGGGAGCTTGATATATACCATATTTTGCCAGTGCTGCATCGGGTCTTCTAATTTCTTAAAGAACAATTAGATTTGACTTACTGTTTTGTTCTCTTCAGCACCATATAAATACTAGCCAATTAAGTTGTTAAGTACAACAACATATTTTAGCTATGTCCTTCCAATTCAAAGAATACTTTTGGTTGCACCTATATGCACTGCCCTAAGACTTACTGTTTTACTACAGTTGTCTGTAAGCTTTGGGTCAATATCTATGTCATATTTACTTCAAAACACCACCCGCAAAGTCTTACACATTTTAAAGAGACCAGCCATAGAGCCAAAATATTCTTTGATACCCATGAAACAGCTTCCAAGGAAGGGTTTATGAGAATTGTTTTCACAAGTAAAACAGAACATGAACCACTAATTTCTAGGTCCTTCATCATGATCTTGACAATGGTACCTTGACTAACCAAGCTGAATAAAACTTGCAAATGAAATGGACAAGATGACAATCGTGAAATTACAAAGAAAAAAAAAACCAGTAAGTGGTGCCAGGAAGAAAACAAAAATGTAAGAAATAGTCTGTATTCTCAGGGAATTTGCAATTAATTAGACAACTTAGCAAATATGGAACTTAGTAATATAGTGCAACTCGGGGCCTGATCCACTGAGGGAGTCAGATGCTTTCTGGGAAGCTTTATTATTTAATACAGAACTTGAGGGAGAAGTCATTTTCTGACAGATCCTAGAAACAGTCATCACATTAGCTCTAGTGCACAAACAACTCTTTTTAAAATAATTGGCATTCCAAAAGCACTTCTGTTGACTCTATGTAAAAGCCATGTAAGACTGAAGCTGGAGTTGTGCTGAAAATGAAGAGCTACATGATGCCATGAAAAGCTACCCCTCCTTTGAAGTGGCACCTGGATGGTGAAAAGAACATCACAATAGGAATCAAAACACCAGAGTTCTAGTCCCACCTCTGCTAGAAATTCAAGGCATATAGCTGAAAATGAAGAGCTACATGATGCCATGAAAAGCTACCCCTCCTTTGAAGTGGCACCTGGGATGGTGAAAAGAACATCACAATAGGAATCAAAACACCAGAGTTCTAGTCCCACCTCTGCTAGAAATTCAAGGCATATATTTTTTTTAAATTAGCAAACCCTACTTGCGATTTGAAGTCTCCTTCCCTAAGAATCAAAATTTTCTCTCGATTTCAAGAATATCTGGCCTTTTCTCACTTCTAAAATCTACTATCAAGGCAAAGAACCTATGTCTTCTTAGATCAAAATTGAAAATGAAAAAATAAACTACACAATCACAGAAAGATAATTGAAAATGGAAGATTTATATTCTCTGCTCATGGTTGTCCTAGTGGCTTCTAACAGTTCAACAGCAAGCAAGGGCTTTCTATACACTTGAAAGTTGAGGGATCCATGGATCTGTTTTTCCACCAAAACCATCCATCCCACAACTCTATAAGCTGTATCATAAAGATGCTCCTACATGGTAGGAACCACTGATTTTTGAGGATATGAGCACCTTTCTCCTCAGACTACCATCAGCCTCATTCGTCCATTTAATTTGGGTCACAGAACATCTTGTTGGATTCTTACAACCTAAATGATAACTTAACTAATTGCTAAATAGTAAAATATAATTTTATAGCAAACATTGCAATTCCTCTTCTTCATTTAACATGCTTTTAAAGAAAATCAGTGATAACTGAACCACTTGCTATGAAGTGACAGTATTTGCAATCGCCTTCAACAAAACACAGTAGGGTATATATTTTAGAAAAATGTCTCCTGCTCCTAGGAAGGAAATGAGCATTACAATACAATTATTTATGTGGCCGGTATCAAGCTGTGGGTGTGCTTATGCTTTCACAGCAACCTTAATCACATACAAAAGCTACACAGTGGCAAGTGAACACAGCGCGCTGTTTCAGCAAAAAGCAATGTGGAAGGTTGTTTCAGCCATGCTTTATGGACACATCTAGACAAGGAGAACTGCTGTATTGCACTCAACAACTACGTCATCCATTTTCACCAAGATCGAGTGTTTGGGTGCTGGATTTTGTTTTGTTTTGTTTTTCCACTACAATTAATTATTTCAAATAGTTCATTACATTCAACTCTCTATCGACTCTGTATAGTGATTTAGAAGAAGGGAAAGGAATAGGTAGAATGAATAAATAAAATCCACAGTTAATGTAAAGGCCCCAATTTATCCAATAATTTCATTTATCACATTCCTTCAGAGCCTGAGTTCTAGTTTTGCTTGTTGTGACGTTTAATTTTCAGGACCACCTACAGACAGGGACACTACTCAGTGGGGGGCTGGAGAGGGGAAAAGCATTACAAGAAAGGCATAGTTTGTTCACAAACTGTATAATCAGTCCCTGAATAATTGAGAGTTGATTGTAATTAACTACCTACTGAAATTAAAATATGTATCATGCTCACAGCACACATCACTTGATGCTAAAAGAAAAAAAAAGGACTCATTTTTTTAAGAAATCCAACACAAGACTCAAAGTGCATTACATTCCTGCATGCCATGCTTCTCCCCAACCTTACCTAAGGAAGACATCACCAGATAATTTACTAACCAAATTAAATCATGAAGCTTGCATCTTGTGGAATTGAATTTGTACTTCAAAATTCACTGGAAAAATAGATTCACCATAAAAAGAAGACATTTCTAAGACAAGAAATATCCAAGACACATTAAAAATGTAATCAAAGTATTGATTGAGAAAACCGTCAGAAAATTATATTTTTATATTGCTTTGAATTATAATGTTAATTTTTAAAACTCTCAACTTTTGGTCACCTGCCCCAATGTTTGTAAGGTGTTCTAATTACAAAATATTCAGTGTTCAGTGTCAGCCAGCATTTCCTAAGCATCTCCTATGTGATAGGGACTGTCACCCAATACTTTATTTATTACACATAAAAATTGCAAACTATAATCCTATTCAATCATTTCACATAATTTTTTCTCAGCTCTAGAAAGAAGCAGAAAATATTTTAGCAACTAGTAAAATTCACATGACAATGCACACATATTCCAAAAGGTATTTTAAATATTGTTGTCATACACAAGCAGATGCCAACTTACAGTTCCTCGTACATTACATATCTATTAAGACGTATAAACTGTAAGCAGCTGGACACAGAGCCAGTAAATGGAATATTGTCACAATTCAAGGTGTTACTCTATTAATTCAAAGGAGCAGCTGTCATTTCCTAAATACTTGTACAGCTCTTTTTCCTTACAACTACGCTCTCTTGTGATTAGACAAGAAAGTCAATCCTGCCTCTCTTTTAAAAGACAGCCAATGTTGAGGGTGCTTAAGTTCTTTCACACAAACTCTAGCTGAAAGATGATTTTAAATTAATCCAAACTTTATTTTTTTATAATTCCTGAGCACAATTTGTACTACAAATAAATGCATTTGACCTAGTAAAGATACTAACATAAAAATAATGTGTTGCTTGAAAACTACATTTCCTTTCTTTGTACTTTCTGGATTCTCTTATGTATTAAGAACTACTTTCTTTATGAACCCACTGTTTCCCTCTTAATTATATTTAATTAATTTACATACATTGTCTCCCTCGCTTCTCAGCTTCCAAAAGGGATGAATATAAAACCAAGACCCTTCATTTCCTGCAGCATCCAAGGACACGCGCATGGCATTCTTCTCCAGTAAAGCAGGTAATCTCTTGTTGACAGTCAGATATTTGTTGCTTTTTATATGCAGCAGCTGTAGGAAAATGACATAGATTACCACCTTATTTTTTGGTCTCCTCTGTTAGTTACATTTATATGTTCATACATATATCGTGTTATCCACGTAACACAGCTTGAGGTGGACATTAAACAAAGGAGCTGTTTTCACACTCCACAAGCACCATCTTTCCAAGTTGGCTTTTTAGGGTTCCTCCTCAACTCCACCCCCAATTCTACTTCATAATGATGTGGGGACATGAGGAAAATAAACCAGGGAACACGTCTGAATGATTTTCACTTACTGATTAATAATAGAATAAAACCAGGCTTTCTAAAGGAGACCTAGAATTTCCCCCAAATCACATCCTTTCCCAATGCCTGCACAAACACAAAAACAGAATACGCTAAAGAAAAACCAAGAAACGCAAATAATGCACCAAACTGCTTAGTATGATTAACCATTCCTGCCCACTGATCACTCAAATTCTTCCTCTGTAAGGAGCAGGACAGGCTGAGTATCCTAAATAGACTCTGCAACTTCCACAAGAGGACGAACCTACCCCCTTCTCAGATGAGTGCAGAAGCACCATCTCTCAGATTTTGAGGGTTCCATGGACAAAGTCTTTCCAAAACATTATTTCTACTTATTAGGAAAACCAAAACAAAATAACATTCCCATCTATGATTTCAATAACATCAAAAAGAATGGTCATTTTAGTACCCACAATATAAGAAGGAAGTTATCTCACAATAAAAAGGCAGTTCTTTCATTGAAAAAAAAAAAAACAATCAGCTCTTTGAAAAGCTAATTATCATACCCCTGTTCTCATTTTGCCAATAAACTCCTCTAGGATCCCCCATGCTCAAGCACATGGCTCAGCCCCAAACTGACCAGGCAAACGTTTGCACTTCAGGTACTTGACAAGGATCATAAGCTCCACTTGCCGGCACTTAATATTAATCAAAACTTGGAGAAACTCTGTTTATGGAGGACTGCCCAAGGGACATGTAGCCCACCCATGCCTCAGGCATCACATTATGTACCATTAAATTAAGTCACACATTCAGGGGGCTATAGACCAGGCTTTCTCATCTTATCCCATCAGAGAACTGCTTTGACTGCCCTGTACTCTGGAATTTTGTCATTGCCAATAACAGAATATCAGGGGATATTATTTTTAAAAACATCTCTATGAAACACTTCATTGTAATCTTTTCTGTAAGGAAGTTGTTAAGCCTATTGTTTACTATATTAAACAGTGTCCTCTTTATGAGCACTCCTAGGAGAAGCACTTCCCTGGTCTTATTCCTGGGAACAGTTGTGCTTCTAGCCCTCTGATTTGGCTCTATGTTATAGACCTCCTATGCCAATGCTGTAACATACTATGCTTCCCTTATGGCTAAGGGGAAAACAGAAAGGCTTTGAGCCAAAGTCTACCAGACTTTGCAACATGGTTTTTAGAAACATGCCTCTCCCCTAACTTCAGCTTAATTGTCCAACCATTATTTTTCCTGACCCAATTGCCTTACTTATTTCTATTTTATCTTGTTATGTGGTTTGTATTTTGGAAATGCCTTACATTCTTTCTGGAACAAGGTGGGGTATATATTAACAAATAACCAAGTAAAAAGCTAAAAAGATATAAATGAAGCACAAGAAAGGAATGCAGCTGAGATAAATCAGAGTGTGCATGCTAGCTAAAACAGAATAATAACAACTCAAGGAAAATTTCCATCTGAAAGTATAATTTGAAAACTTTCCTCTCTCTACAAAATAAGAAGATAACGTTCCATATGTTAAACATTAGTCCCATTAATCTAAAGGACTATTTTATTATAGGCCTTTAGAAATTGGTTCCTCACCTTCTTCCTTTTGATAGAATAAATAACTTGAACATAAATCCAGATAAGATCACTTCTTCACGTGCATACATCAGACTTATTCTTAAAAATGTAGAATAGTGCATTGAATATCAACTGAATACATAACGGTATCTATAATTCCCACTAAAGAACGAACTATTTATTGTATCCAAAAATTTTAATGCAGTTTGGCATTTCTACTCACAGAGGTAATTTGGCAAATTACCCATAAAATATTCATCTCTTTTAAGAAATAATTCCCACTAAAGAACGAACTATTTATTGTATCCAAAAATTTTAATGCAGTTTGGCATTCCTACTCACAGAGGTAATTTGGCAAATTACCCATAAAATATTCATCTCTTTTAAGAGAAAATAAACACAAACTTACCTGTATAACATTACTGTATTTCACAATTTCTCCCAACAGTTTCTTATTCTCTGATTCATTTTGTTTTTGTTCCAGTTCTGCAGCATGCTATAAGATGATTATCAAATATTCAGTGTGGAAACATAGTAAACAGAGTACAATAACAAAAATATTTTTTTTAAGAAATAAAGAACATAACTATGAATAAAATTGGCTGATTGCTCAACTCAGTGCTTGGGAAGAGGGAGAGGAAGGGGGAGATAATTAAATAAAGGAGTACCATATAGTGTGATAATTTCTCAATTTATTCTGAAATAGTCAAAAATGCCTTGAGCCCATTTTTGTCAGAAATTTCAGAAAAGTATTAAGCTCTTTGGTCTTAAGCAATTAAGAATTGTTACTAGAAAAACCAACCCCTATATAGTAAGGGAATTTCAAAAGTCTCAAAATACAGTTTCAATTCTAAAAGTAACAGGAATTTTAATGATACAAAATTAAGTTCTATCAAATTTACACTCAGCGAAACCAGAAACAATAGTCTTTCAATTATTTCTTTCCCACTGTCTTTCAGGAAAAAAAAAAATTAAGTACTATGTCAAGTAAAATATGACCGGATTTAATATTCCTACAGAGATTCTGAGTTCATCTTTAGTTTGACGTGAAGCTTTGAATTAGTCTGGCACACCCTAAAAAATAGCAGCTGAAATGTGTTACCTACATGCCAGGAAAAAAGTGTTCACACACTATAACTTAAACCTCCCTTCCATTTTCAATGTGTTGCTACATCTATTCTAAATCTCTGTGTATTGGGTGAAATCACAAAGCTAGAAAGCTACTAATGCATCTTTTGTTACTGCTGTTGTCGGTCTAGCCTAAGCCAGACCAATGGAAGCCTGGCCCTTACCTGCAATTTCTTCAGTAAGGCTGCCTCTGTGTGGTTCCCTTGTTTGGCTTGCTTGGCTTTCCAATATTGCTTCTGGGCAGAGTATCGGTTCATCGGACACACCTTGAAAAGGCAGTCTATGACAAACCAACAAACAAAAACACTGTAACCAAGGCCACCAGCATTTCTTAAGTTTCTTCATATGTAGTTTTGGAATTTGGGGATCCCTGAGCATAAAGAACATTTAAAGGTATATAGTCCATCCTCCGGCCAACTCTTAAATTCGCTGTTAACATCCTTTTCAAATAATTATTTAGACTCAGTTGAAATAACCCCTTCTTCATTAGTTTGTTTTTTCAGAAATACTATAGCCAGTGTAACGTATAAAGAAATCAAACCAACATAACTGTTGCAAGGTATTTCTTAATTATAATGGGATACTTGGTCTTAGAAAGTGAATAGAATGAGATTAGTGACTTTTACTGCCTTTTCCGAACTTGCACAATTAATACTTATTCATGGCATGTATCTTTGACAGCCAAAGTGATGCAGAAAATAGAAACAATCACAGCCGACCATTATATTCACCCATAAGTTTCCAAATAACAGGGGTGACTATGGTGTGGAAATCTGAGAGACAGTGCAATATAATGGAAAAGTAAAGCAAAACAAAACTAAAAAACTCAGTCAAGATTATACTCTTGGCTCTACTACTAATATTATTTTTATTTATTTTATTTTTCAAATAGAAAATGATAGTGGAATACTATAGTTAGTGATATCTCCAAGTGAAGAAGCAAAATATATATTTTTTCTTCTTAATAAGGAAATGGAAGGACTAAGTAATTCTTCCATATGGTAGTAATTTTGCATACTTGTGGAATGGATTACAATCTAGAATAAAGGACAGTTCCCAATATTCTATGATAAAAAAGCAGTGATATAGAAAATCAAAACATTAATTTCATTTTTCTCACAAAAAGTTGTATAAACTCAGTACAAAAAATTAATTTTGATTGATGTGTGAATATTTAGAATCATTCTCATTTTTCAAATATCTATCACAAAACTAAAATTCAGTCAATTCAAATATCCATTTTAGCCACATTACTGACTATGTTATATAATATGCTCATTCTAGAATTCTTCTTAAAATGAATTATAAAATTAATTATATTTTTTAAAACTTGACCTTTTCCAAATTTCACTTTCTTATGGTCCAAATGGCATAAATGATCAAGAAATGTGACTGTAAAATTTTTAAAGAATTTTAAAACAAAACAGAAGAAATATTACTTTTTTCCTATACCTTATAAACACAAATTCTATGGATTGTACCTATCCTCATACACAAAAAGCTATGAAAAACTAATTCTTAATTTCTACTTTAAAAGGTACCGACATGGATGAGTAAATATTTTATAGGTAGCAGAAAACAGGCACCTTCCAACTGCTAAAAGCAGGCTGAAAGACCATCCCAATTCAATACAATGCAGGAATCACCACTTGGTATGTGCGTGTGGAAACCAAAACCCTACACATGAAAAATGTTTTCCTCAGCAGCATTTCTTCCAAACCCTAGAAATTATTTCCTGTATATTAGCAACTACAAAGAGGAATTTTTTGAAGCCCAAATATAGAGACTATTCACAAATACCACCAAAAAGTGCTCCCAATTTAATGCAGCAGACTATTTTGACTATCCTGTATTTGGCAAGTAACAAAACTCTACATTGTTTCAGTGCAGCAAACACACAAATCCACGTTCATGTGGAACTCAACTCTATTATCTGCAGTCTACACATCTGACCTTATTCATGTATGAAAAGAAAAGAGAAAATTTTTGTTCTCCTTTATTACAGATTCCTAATTATTAGGAAAATGGTCCTTTGACAGAGAAAACATTTTTTGCAAATTCTAGACCATGCCAATATCACTCCTAATTAGTGGTATCTGTGGGTAGCTAGCAGACTGACTTGTGTTGTGGCCAAACACTCCCGAGTGTGTAGCTGAGGTCATTATGACGTGGAGTCAAACACTGAGCCAATCCATGTTGACTGTAATCCCCCTGCAAGGGTGTCAAGCCCAGTGCTGCCAGGTGTTAAGACTCAGACCCTGTCCTCGGAAAGCTCCCAATCAACTTGAAGTTTCACAATGGAGCTCTGGAGAAGATGCTATGTGGCACAGGATGCATGTGGCCAACTTCACCAGGAAGGGGAGTTTAGAAAAGACTTCCCAAAGGAAAAAAGAAAGAAGACTGCCAAATTTTAAAGAACCTATACTAATTCAGCACCTGGGCAAGGATGTTCAGCTGCTCAGAGGGGAGGGGCATTCCAAACAGCCGATGGCTGGAACAAAGGCACAGAAGAAGACTAAGGGCCTCACTAAGGTGCAGGAAAACTACCGCCGAGGCTGCAAAATGAAAGTGGAGGGGTGGGCTGAGGTCAGGATCTGCAGTGTTACATATCAGACTGAGCAGTATGAACTATATCCCATGGAAACTGTTGAGCTCTGAAAGGGCCTTAAGCTTTTACAGCATGTGAAAGGTGACGTGACCAAGAGGCAAGAAGACTGGCACCAAAGCCCATCACCAGCGAGATGAAAGGTGGTGGGGATCTGAATTGGGGCTGCGCAAGAGTTTTAGGGTAGCCCTAGATTTAAAAGAAAGCAGCTGAACCGGCAGTCTTAATCATCTATTAGATGTGGGGGTGGGGAAGGGAGGGAGGGGAAAGTGAAACCGGCTAAAAGAGCGAGCTTCCACCCACTCTGTCAGAGATGCAAAGCCATAGATTTCAAAAGCCCTCTCCATCTTCAGGGCCTCAGTTACATGGTCCCCTAAGCAGCCTTCTTTTATATCACACTAATAACCAATCTGTTTCTGTGCGGGAATTAACACTGCCAGACCATCACAGTTGATAGGAGGGAACGCAGGGCATACACGGTCTTTTGTAAAAAAAAAAAAAAAAAAGCTTTTATTGTTGGCAGTGGGGTGTGTGTGTGTTTCATTCTCTCTCTGCCTCCTTTAGAACACATTTAAAAATTTAAAAAAAAAATACCAGTCTTGGGCTGGTCACATATTTTGTCTGATTCTAGATTTACTATATAATAAAAGTGTTAATAATACGTGCCACACCTAATTCACAGTGCTGCTGAGATGCGCAGAAAGATAATCTATGTGAAAGTTCTCTGTGAACTTTAAAGCCCTTTCATACATAAATGTATGGCATTATTATTAATAATGCTTCATTCTTTCAGCAATAGCTTCACTAAGATTAAGAGTTGACTAAAGCCTTACAGAGCTCTTAGCAAATAGCAACAAAAAGCAGAGTTCTTGAATTAAACCTGCACACACACCAAGAATGCCTAATTAACAAGGTGTTCACCCCTTTGGGTTAAGATGCCAAAATGTGCTTTTGTATAAAATTCTCAAATTCCCTGAGAGAGAATGGCAGTGAGTACTTGATACAATCTCCATTACCTTGTAATATCTTCTAAAATACGGAGATACAATCACCAGCACCAGTAAGGGTGGAGCCTTTTACAAGCGTACCCCCCCACCCCCAGCATGCAGGAATTCAGATATTTCAGAGGTACCCACTCTCATCTGCTCTCATCTCCCTGCTTCTAAAACTAGCTCTCTAGTATTCCTTGGTCTGCTCATTCTCTAAAATTAGAGGTGTATATTCTGTTAAGGAAAAGGTTTTAGGGGATTCTTCAATTAGATATTGGCTCAGTGTCATTTTTTAATTAACAAGAATCTCCTCAGCATTTCAAGACTCCATGGATTAAAAAAAAAAAAAAAGGAAAGGTTTGCCTCATAGAGCAAGCACCAGAAGCACAAATAAAAGGAAGTAATTTGAGTTAAATTTTTTTAAAGCTTAACCTTAAGACCTGAGGCCAACAATTTTGCAGAATTACAGAAGTTCAGGAAATGTTAGTAATCCAACAAGACATGATATGTTCAATCAGGCAATATTATAAGAACAGAAATAGGTCTTTTTTTTTTTTTAACAGTTGCGGAAGGATATAAACCACCCAGAAGTGTTCATTTTAAACTGAAAGAACTTGGCAGCACTTTTAGCCAGCTTACAAATGTCAGTGGAGGAAAGAAATATGGAAGCCATTCAAACAGTGTGGAGCACGGAACCCATGGCATATAACACTGTAAGTCAAAGAAACTATCCTTCCCATGTGACTGGTGCACGTCTGGCAGGAAACCAATCCAAACCTCCACTTACAATACCTATCCACATAGTTTTGAAATGCTTCACCTTATACTTATAAAACCTTTTCTAAAATGTTTGTATCTGAAACAGTTTCTGCACCCCAGAACCAGACATAAGGACTCCATTTGGGGCTGTTACACACAAAGTTCAATTACGTCTTGGCCAGCAGTTTCCTTTGGTGATGGTGGAAAGACAACTTGCTTTTGCTTTTTCATTTCTCCTTCCCCCTAAAGCTGTCTTAAGATTTAAGTGAGGTGAGGCACATTAACCCATCAGCAAGTGCCTGACACAAGGCAGGCATTCAGCAAATGGCTCTTTCATGGTAGCTTGTAAAATTACCTCATACTGATTACAGGGAACATGGTTGCCAAGGACTATTATCTCCACGTGGAGAAAGTGGGGAGAAAGAGCCTCTGGGACTTTTCTTTTTCTTTTGATGAAATAAAGAGGATGCAGAGTTCCATGAAGACAATGGTCTCTGTGACAGAAGAGAAGCAAGGACCTTCCCAATAATAAAATGCAAAGTGATAAGAAAACTCTCCCTAAGGTAGGGACAGGCAGACAAGGGGCCCTAGACACTAGAATTGAGAATTCAGAGTTGATCAAGGAAGAGGTATGCATTCATTAGCCCAAAATATAACTGTAACTCCGTTTTTGTTTTTCAGTGTGTCTAAGAAGTGCATCCTGAAACACAGTGTTTGTATTAAACTCTGTATGTTTAGCGGTTATTAGAAGGAGTGTGTCTTGTTTTGTGAAAGCATGGAAATTTTAAACCAAACATCTACCTTGTCTTGCCTAAGGCAAGTGTTGAGAGGGTCCTCTAGAATGCTACAAAAGCCAAGGAAAATTTATTGCATTTGCTGACAAACATTAAAATTAATCACAAAATGTGGGTTGGCAACCATG